AGGCGATAACTGGCGGCAAGTTGCGGCTCATAACGGTGTCGTCATAGAGACCGCACGAGGTTGGGTGCGTCGTTCATCACACCTTCGGGTTTCTTGCAGATGCTATCCTACTGAAAGACATGGCCGTGGGAAATTGACAAAAGTTGATAATTCCTCTCCGAAAAAAAATAAAAAAATAAAAAAGGCGCACTGTGTATTTTGAATCCGGGGTCTGGTTATTTTGAACAGGGGTTTGCCCGCCACTATGCACAGGTCGGACCCGGGGTGGTAGTATTGAATCCCCGATCTGGGGAGAACGGACCTGAAATGGTGTAATGTCAGATAAACAACGAATGTTACACGAAAGTTGCGAATAATTCTAACAGGTACAGAATTATCCGGATCGGTCAACCTTCACGGATAACATATATTCTCCGGATATTTATATCCAGGGTTTAAAGACAACGGGAAAGCGTCGATAATTCTGTCAAATAACATTTTTTTTGGATATATCTGTAATTACTTAAAATCTAAGAGCGAATATTTATATGCTAAAATGACGCAGAAACTAATAAACTGTTTTCCTGTATGCCCGAAAGGGTGAATGCTGACCCAGTCGACCTAGAACAACATTCAAGCAATCTTGTACGACTGTAATCCAAACGTTGCAGTAGTTGCAGGTAACATCAGGGTGGAACTTGGCTGGAGGTGCTTTGCTGCGAATGACAATGAACTTAGTCCAAATGGGGCCGTCTTTGCGATCCGTTGTATAGATAGTAGAACTTTACGTTGTGAACTTAATATGGTTTGAAGTCTTCGGGAAGTTTGTGAGGTCATAGAACCAGGGAAGCTTAGACAGCGCAAGGTGCATGTACGCGAGTCCTGCGTCGCGGTCCGAGCACTGGTTGAAGTGAAAGACATTGCGTACTGTTCCCAAAGCTGATTGTAGTATGATTCATACGCATAGAAGTAGAATATTACGAAAACAGCCTGTTCCATTTTTCCTTGTGTGTGCTATTTTTAACAGTTATTAACTCTGTTCTGTTAAGTACGCATTTAGCTTTAAAAAAACGAATAAAAAGCTTCAAAACAACCCTAGGTAAATCATTAGTTCTCAAAACCATTTTTTTTTACATATTCAGCTGGAGTTTCGCCAATTCATGAAATTCCGCTTTTACTACCACTGTTGCGAAAATTTGCGGAAAGACAAACAATAACGGTAAATTCGCGGAGGTCTTGTTGATATTATCTGCTTTGGATCAATGACCTTGTCATATTGTGGAACATCAACATACCAAGTACATACTGCCAGGCCGCCGAAGCGACTACCAAATCTCGATCTCAAGCGAAAGCGGTACTTTCGTGGTCGAAAAAAATCCTCGCTTTCTTCACCACTCTCGCGCTGACGTGCAGATCGACATCCAAGGCGATCCACATGAGCGACAAGCATGCGTCTCTTTTCGCGGTAACGCCTTTGCACTGCAAGTTTCTTGGTATTAGCGTCGTGACTGATCCTACGAAGCCGCTACAAGTAGTTGTGGTAGTTGGTACCATCTTCACTGCGTAGTGGAAGAATTCGCACATGAAAATTGGTGAGAGCTACACACGCACGAAAAAAACATGTCGTAGTTGCCTTCATCCCACCGGTATTTGTCTGATCACATTGCCCATAGCGTGCAGAGGCGACCGAAATAGTTCTCCACGAGGACGCGGTCATGGGCGATGCGGTCATTAGTCTCCATTTGCTCCAAGGTCAACTCCCGCAGTGGCTGCTTCTTGAACGGCGTGATGGCACGAAAGTCAGCGGCAAGTCCTTGGTACCCCTTATCAGCTAGAACAGCCCACGAGTCGGGATGCTCAGTCGTTAGAGGCCCTTCATCGGCTAGTTCAGTCTCCATCGAGCTCATAAGAAGATGTTGGAGGTGAAACTCGTGGTTGTTGCGGAAAATCTGGATATCCGCTTCACTGCCAGGGTAATGCGCCGTGCAGTTGAGTGCAAGGCCATTAGGAAGCACAGATACCTCGACTTTGTAGCCGTGAAGATGATGTTTGGCCGGTCGGCATGTTGCTCTGCTGGAAAGTAACATCCGGGGCGTAGCGAGCGCTTGGGTAGTTATGGAACGTGTTGTCTCCTAGCACGAGCGCCTCCATCGTGAATTTGCCAGCCGCGGACACCACATACTTCTCGTAGAGGTACGGAGACACAACCTCCGCAAATGAAAGTATCATCTTTTGAAATGTTCCTGTCTTGATGCGGAGGACGTTTGCCACCACGTCCCATTTCCCACAGTGCTTAAGGACGACCAGGAACATGAACAGCACGTCCTTGGGCTGCTGCTTGCTCTTA